CAGGGGACTTGAAGACAGACCAACAGAAACTATGCAAACTGAAGCACAATGAGAAAAAAAGGTTGAAAACAGAGACAAAGCATCATAAACTACAGGTTGATATCAAGTGGTAAAATATTATAAATCTGGAATCCCAGAAAAAGACAAGAAATTAGGGTAGAAAAAATAAGCTTTTTTCAAATATGATGAAAATATTAATCCATAGATCCATACAGTTCAGTGAACTGTAAAAAAATATATAAAATCATAAGTAGGTTCATCATAGTCAAACTGATAAAAACAAGTTTATGACAATCTTAGAGCAGCAGAAGTACACAGAAGTAACAATAAAGATGACAGCTGCCTTCACAGAAAAAAAAAATGCAAAAGTAGCAGATAAGACAATGGATGTCCTCTTTAAAGTGCTAAGAGAAAAATCATCCACTGAACTGGAATTCTACATCTAAGTAAAAACACCCCTTGAAAAGGATAAACAAAAAACAGAAAATTCATTACAAGGATACCTGTACCATAAGAAATAGTAAGTGAAGCTTTTTATTTTTAAAGATTTATTTTATTTATTTATGCATATAAGAACTGGAGTGCAGGCCAGAGGTACAGCGGTGAGGGGGCGGGGGGTAAGAGGATTCACTAGAGACAGAGTGGGGAGGAGAACAGGTGAATTTACTGAAATACACTGCTGAGGGGAGCAGCAGGTGAGACAGGAGAGGTCTACTGTGCCATTTGGGTCAGCTCCCTGGCCGGGGATTGAACTCTTGCTGCAGTGGCTGGCGACAGCTTGATAGTACTAAGACTTTAACCCCTGTGCCACTAGGGAAGTTCCAGTAAATGAAGCTTTTTAAGTTGAAGGGAAATGGTATCAGATGAAAACCTGAATTTGAACAAAGGAATAAGAATACTAGAAAAGGTGAAAATGGGATAAACAGATAAGACTTTCATGTGTGTGCTGGAAACCAATGTTACCTCAATCAGAAAAAAATAAAGTCATGTAACAGACTAAAAAAAAAAAGACTTTTTTTTTTTAAAAGAAACTGGCTGTTTAATATATTGTGGGCTTATACTACACGCAGAAGTAAAACTGTCAAGAGATAGGTAAATAGAGGTATATTTTTTAAGTTCCTACATTAAAACTTTTAAAATTTCTAACATTTTATATACACATATAAAATAGCATAAAATTAACTCAAAAGAGGACTGTGATATGGTAAGGATGCATATTATTACCTCTAGAGAGGTCCCTTAAACAAAAAAAGTCAAAAACCCCCAAAAAATAAATAAAATGGAATAATTACACATACTGAAGCCTAAAGAAAAATAAATAAGCAAATAAAATAAAAACAATGAGCACAGCCTGCCACTCTCCTTTCTTTAGCTGTAAGCCTAATCACAGGACAAGTTACATAAATTTAAACAGACTAAACACTCCAATTGAAAGGCAGAGATTTTTAAAGACTCAAGTACTTAGATATAAAGTTAGCTTCTGATAGTTAAAGACATAAAATGCTGCCAATGAATGCTAATACCCAAATGTGTGAGATGACTTTTGAACACACCTAAAGGTGACTCTAATGTAATCCCTAGGAGAAAAGACTGGAATGTGAATGTAGTTAATAGCAAGCATTAACTGACACAACATTCATTAACTTACTTAATTTTCACAACGTGTTTCACTTCCTCTCTGAGGAAGGTACTCCTCCACACCCATTTTATAAGGTTGCCAACTAAAGCCCAGACAGGTGCTCCCAGGTCACATGTTCTTAACTCTTTAAGCTGAAAGTAATCAACTATACTCCTCCCACTCACCCACCCACTTCCTGTATCTGGTCACAGCTGAAAAATTATTGTTCTCAGAGTATGTCTTGTCCTCTTAGGTCACAGTGTTTACTTCTGGCGATCCCCTAGGGGGAATGATTCTATTTATTCTATTCTGTCTGGCAATAGGTTGCTACCTCCTCTTGCCCTTCCTTTCCCTCAGTTCTCTGCCTGAAATGTCTTACTTGAGTATTCCTCACACCACTCTTGTTCATTGCCACACTCACATACTTCCATATCATCTTGGGTATTGTGTTCCCAAGAGTTTGACACATCATCTTATAATTATTTGGTGTCTATTTTTTCCATTGAACTATAAAAGCTCCCTGAGATATCACAGCATCTTTCATCTCTATATACTTAACACCCAGCAGAGAGCTGTGGCAGGTAGTGGGGGCTATGCTTATTAAAGTAATATTTGGAAGACCAAAAATGTTACAATATTCACCCCCTTTCAACCTTTCACAAGTTCTGTCTTACATTAGTCTTGTCTTTAAGCAAAACAAAACAAAAATCCAGGTATATTCCATTTAGATGATTCGATAAAGGACAACCAATAAAATAAATACTCCCTGGAATGTACTCCAGGCAAAATTTTCTGTTATCTGAACAATTTAATAGGATTCCTTTTTTTTTAGAAAATGAAAACATGTCAGGCACCATCTTTCTAGTAATACCTTCACTGCAGGAAACGGAAACTGAATGTCAGGCCAAATTTGTACAAACTGGAGTTACATGGTTCTGGATCAAATTGTCTCCACGTTCCCTCCAACGACAAATGTATACATAGGCATGCCAGTTACTATAAACCACTATAAATTCTTTTTGGAACAAAATAGAGGCATAGAGAACACAATGTATAAATAAATATTACCAATTAATCAATCTATAATTTTGTCTTGATTAGTTAAACCAATATTCAATGCTTTGGATTATACTGAGCTCCCTGAAAAAAGGTTAACAAAAATCAACCTTTTTGCTAAATAGCTCCACATTGGCACCTCATGAAGTACTTCCCAGTACCTAGTCCATCAATTATCTGTTCTGTGGGCCCAGTCTACTAGATGATAGATCTCTGCCTCCTCTTCTTATTTACAACATCATTTTATAAATAAATACAATAGATTTGGACCTGTCTCTTGGGACCATCACACATGTCACTTCCTTAGGTGGGAGAAATTATCAATTCAAGTTACGTAGTATCTTTAAAAATTTAATAAGAATAAGATGTCCAATGAAGGTGACAGGATAATGGCTAAGATTTACCTGTGGTTTCTATGTAGGAGGCACTTTTCTATGTGTTCTATGTATATTTACTCATTTAAATACCTAGACCACATATGTGCTGGACAAAGGGATGGGCACAGGGTCCCCGGGTCAGTCACCCCCAGTACTTTCCAAACCGAGCTGGGAGAAACTTTTCCTCTCTAGTAACAAAACTGTGAGGACTTCAGCTTAAAGCTAGCAGTGACCTTTGTACCGGGATGTTTGAAAGAAGGAAGCCTATAAAGAGCCTCCAGAGAAATCTGAGAGCACTGGAATCCCAGCTTCCACTCTGCCTCTCCTTCCAAAGTTAGCAATAAATCTGCCAGTCAACCACCTTGAGGGGATTAAAAAGAATTCCTTTGGGTTTCTGTCTGTCAGCTAGAGGAATCTAACTCTGAAACTCAGTCTTCTCACCTGAAAATGAGGAAAATCAAGAAGAGCCTTTCATTCCCAGGAAAGTTGTGAGAGGGAAGCAAGATGCACACTTGAAGCACTTTAGCAATGTGACTGAGGGACAGGAAGGGTTCCAAGGCCGTTAGCTAAGAGTCGGTAACACCTACAATAGCATTTGTCCCAACAGACTGATGCCAAAGATTATGAAGTCATCCTTGGTTTCTCTATATCTCTGGCACCGCCAATGTGCCAGCAGAAACTGCTGGTTGTCTTCAAACTCCATGTAGAATCCAACTATTTATTGTAGTCTGCACCACAGGCAGGACACGAACTACTGCAACAGCCTTCTAACCATGCCTCCAACTTCTCTGGTTTTGACAGGCTATTCTCCACGCCACAGAGTAATCCCATTAAAATGGCCCTGGTGGTGCAAGGGGTTAAGATGCAGCACTATGAAGCTATCTTCAGCCACTGCAGCACAAGTTCAATCCCCAGCCAGGGAGGTGACCCACATGGTGCAGCAGACTTCTCCAGTCTTGCCCGGTGCTCCCCTCAGCAGTGGATTTCAGTCAATCCACCTATTCTGCTCCCCACTCTGACTCTGGTGAATCATCTCACCCTCCCACACCTCTGGCCTATACCCCAGTTCTTGTATGCATAAATAAAAATAAACCTTTAAAAAAAAAAAGGCAGAGAGATGAACATGCTCCAAAGGCATCTGTCAGAGCTGATCCTGCCCTGGCTTCAGCATCCCTCTAGGCCTGGCTCACTCCTTCCCTACACTGTGCTCCCCACAAGCTTCCTACCCCCAACCCCCTTCAGATACCCACCAGGCTTCCTTGGTGGGGGATGGGTTCCTGCACTTGTTTCCTCTAGTCAGGCCAGTCCTTCAGTTCTTTCCCAAATATCTCCAAGCCTCTCTCCCTGCCCTCTGGTAAGTCTTGATTCAAAGGTCACCCTTTTGTCAGGCAGTCACTAAACTAACCTATAACCCCAAAGCAGATACAATGATGTAAAACATATTATCTTAATCAACACATTTGAAAAAAAGAAAAAACAGCACTTTAAATCTTAGTACCTAGCACCTCAGGGTCTAGCAAATATAATGCTGGTCCTGAATTACTTGTTGATGAAAAAAACAAAAACAACCAAAAACCCTCAGTGCATGGGGAAAACAAATAAATAAAAGGTAATTAATCTGTAGGGGAAAATGCAGCACCCCCTTCTAATCCACCTCTACTTTTTTCCATAACACTTAACCTCTGTCTGACCTAACATATGGTTTCCCTATTTGTTATCTGTTTCCCCTTTCTAAAACATAAGCCTTGGTGGTGGGGGTGGGGGGTGCAATTGTGGACTGTTTTATTTATAGTGTTCCCAACACTACTGTGTTCCCTGGCACACAATGAACATTTGCTGAATGAATGGATGAATTTGCCCTCAATCTCCTTTTGTGGGAATTGGGAGACAAACATGGAGTAGAGCAGGAAAAAAAATGGAAATCTTATTATGAACCTTTTTGCACCTACCTGGCACAGCGCACCCAGTGTGTATGTCGGTACAAGGAGTATAAGAAGCGTTGGCGATACATGTTCCATACTTTGATGGATTTGTCTTCAGAGGCTGTAGCTAGAAACTGGCCGTCAGCTGAAAAGTCCACACTACGAACTGGAGCTGTATGAGCCTTAAATTCAGAGAACTTTCCTTTCCTGGAAATACAGTTACATATTTCTTGTTCATTTAATTGTAATCAATATATAGCCAGTATACAGACTTTGAAAACACGAAATGGTTTGACTTTTGGAAAAACTAACAAAAGTATGAAAAGGCTGAACTGTACTGTTATTCTTCATTGGTACAACTTCAAACTGGTTTTGTTACTTAAAGTCACAACTGATGTTTAGCAAGAAAGACCCTGGGGTCACCATCCTGAATTGTATTTGCTGTTTTTGCTTTAATTAGAAGCTAGGGAAATAGCATTTTGAGCAAGTCTCTATAAGTTCCTGTTTTCCTCTGAAAATAGCAATATACTGTCTAAAGAGCTGCAATCTAGACAGGCGGGGATTGCTTAAATCAATAGCTCCAAGACAAGCTTTCAAAGTGGAGTCACATGGAAGTTATGTGGAGGGTAGTCTGGGTTGGGAAGAAGATATCCCCTATGTCATTCTCCTCTATATAAAATGTGCCTAGATAGTCTTCTGACTGTCCTATTATTCCCACCTATGTCTCCAACCCTGGTGGTGGCACCTGAGCCCATCAGTGTGTATTTAAGGCCACATTCACCCCTAGGCCAAATCCTAATATGAGCAAAATAAAAATGAATGATAACAACAAACTTTTGTTCTCAACACCTTGAAATTTCAGTTGCTTATTTTTCTTGGCTAAGTTGGATAAGAACAGGAAAAAAAAAAGATGTAGAAAAAATGTGCAGCATTTAAGGGGAAAAAATGTTAGAATAAGACAGGCTCGATAGCAGGGGAGTTATAAGACAACATTTGGGAAACAGTGCTCCCAAGATGCCATGGCACTTTCACTTTATGCTTCATCCAGACTCATGAATGTTTCCATTCAGAAAGACATACAGGCGATACCTTATGGGAAAAATCACAGTAACTGCTGGGCAGAGATCAGACAACAGAATTTGCAAAAGCCTGGAAGTCACAACACCTCCTCCTTTCTCTCCTCCCACACCCAGGGAGTCAACAAACCCTATCATTACAATTTTCTAGATATCTTTTGAATTCCTCTTCTCTCTCTATCCCAGTTATGCTTCACTGAGGGTAAGATATACCCACAATATCCTTCACTTAGATTACTGCGAAAGCCTCTTACCTGGTCTCCCTGTTCTAATCTTTTACTTCTGTCCAGTCACCTATATACTGTATTCATTACCTTGGCAGAAGTGTAATTCCACGCATGCAAATCCCAATGTCAACATATCACTGGCTAACCACCAAGAAAAAGGGCAACGCCCAGCCTCGTTTCCAGGCCTCCTGCCACCACAATGAACTTCGTACTCAGAACCATTGCGCTGTTCCAAAAGCGCCTCAGCCTCTGTACTTTCTTTTTTTTTTTAAAGATTCATTTATTTATTTATACAAGCACTGGGTACAGTCAGAAGTGCAGGAGAGTGAGAGAATTCACCAGAGCCAGAGCAGGGAGCAGAGCAGGCAGACTGACGAAGCACACTGCTGAGGGGAGCGGCGGGTGGCAGGAGAGGTCTGCGCGCTATGTGGGACTCTCGCCGGTGGCCAGGAATTGAACCGGCACTGCAGGGGCTGCAGGCAGCTTCGCAGCCCAGCGCTCAACCGCTGCGCCACCAGGGGAGGCCCTGTACATACTATTTCTTCAGCTGCACTATCTCCCTGCCCCCAAGCTCCCTTGACCAACCCAGACAGGCGTACTTGTTCCCTACCTACTATGTTTATTTTGTTTATTACATTATATAGCACTTTTTAAAAATAAACCTGTTTCTCTCCTATTAAAAAGTGTTTTTTAAGACAGGAATGATGATTAATTCATCTCTATAAGACGAGTATCTAGCACAATGTCTGGTATACAAAAAGAGCTCAGTACATTTGGTCAGATTTCACTGGGAAAATCAATAATGAAAGGTCCTTAGAGTCACATGGGCCTACCCTTCATTAGCCTATAAGGCGAAGATGACTTTGGTACCAATTTCCATTGCCAGATACATAATATTATACCAGGAGTAACCAACATCAACATTTTTTAAAATATAGGGAAAAAATAAGGGAAAGTTCTACCTGTAGCAGTCAAGAGTGGTTTTGGCCTGAATTCAAGTAAAAGGCCTAGAAAAAAAACAAAGAAAAGACTTGGCATCTTCTATGACCAGGAAGCCAAGAGGCAGTGAGCATGATCAAAATCTGCCCTGGTCTGTAGTTCTACACTCCTCAGATTATCTTATTTGCCTTCTTCTAAAAGACTTCCTCTTATCTGTAGGCTGAATTAACCACTGGATCCGGCCTCAACAGGATGCATATAAGAAACCAAAATAGGAGTGTCTTGTGTTTATTGTGGTCTTGCTTAACTGGTTTCTAGTTTCTTACCTTGTGTTAATGTAGGCTCTCTGAATCTCACATATAGTAAATATGCAAGTAATGCCCTTCCTGCCCACATTCTCTTACCTGCCTGTTAGGATGAACTCTTGGCCACACTTGCTTCCACGTTTGCGCCTACTATTCTTTTGGTGTCTCACTGCAAATACTTGCCCACAATTTCTTTCATCCCTGTATACACATACCCCACTGCTCCCCACAGGAGGCAGAAATTACTGATTCTTACTCTCTTTAAATCTTGGTTGGTGCTATGACTTATTTTGACCAAAACTATGTGACAGAAGTGACGTACTACAAGATTCATGCCTAGCCCTTGAAAGGTCTAGCAGTTTCTGCTTTTACTCTCCCAGAACCCAACTGCTCTGCAATAAGGAAGTCCTTATCCTGCTGGAGAGAGGGCTCTTGGAGGCCCCAGATGCCCTAGCCATTAGCCAGCACCAAGGCCTCATGTATGAGGGAGGTAATGGATCTGTGAGCTCTACCGCCAGCTTCAAGGAGCTGTAAGCATCACAGCTAGCACCAAATGGGGCAGAAGAATCACACAGCCAACCCACAAAATTGTGAAAAGTTAGTTTTGTACTAAGCTACTGAGCTTTACAGATTTTTATTCAGCAATAGATAATGGATACTCCAGCTTTCTTCCCATTGCCATAAAACATTATTGCTTTGACTCCACTGAGAGAGGATCTAGAGAGAGGAAGTAGATATATCTACATAAGCCTAAATTTTGTGCTTAGATTAACCCATATAAATTAATGTTAGTTTGCTTGTAGCTCACCTACCCTAGTACAGTTTATTCACTGACATTTCCCTGAATTAGTAATGGGAGGCTGACGCCGTGTTATGCCCAAGACAGTAAAACCACTAGTTCTAAGTTCCCAAAGTGAAGGATTTCTGAAAATGCTTTCCCCTTTGGACCCCAATTCAATTTTCCCCTTATAGTCCCCTCTATGGTATCATCCACGCTGTCAACATACTATTTCTCCTCCGTCTTTACCACCATCAGAATTTAGATTTCTCAAAGCAGAGTGTCCTGTGGGTGGTGGCAGAAAACAAGTGGCTTTCTTTCATGTGGGACTGCCTGAGCTTGCCCAGTAAATCACCTCAGCTATTGATTTACCCTCCTCAAACTATCCTGTCACAGCAGAGTCAAGGAAAATGCTTAAATTCTTATTCTCTCGTGTACTTGGGGGGAAATGATATAATGTGATAGATTTATTCTAAAAATATTCTAGCAAAAAATAAAAGGATGGGTGTGGTTAACAGATGAAACAAGATTGACAGAACACTGATTAACTTGAATTTGGTGGATGGCTGTGGTGGGGAGAGTTGTGCTATATACCTTCTATGAAGGTATATATGCTTCTATGTAGTTAGCTTCTATATGCTATATACCTTCTATGTAGTTAAGAGTTTAAAAACTTTTAAAAATTGTGATTAGACATCATATAAAAAAAATAACAGTACAAAACACAACAAAGCAAAAACAGACAATTATAAATCAGAGACATCCTGCAGGGGAGGAGGAGGGAGAGGGATCAGAGGGAGGGAGGGAGGAGCACAGGGGACTGAGGTGATGGTGCACGGGTGCCTTGGGAAGGAAATTTTATGGGGACTACACCTGAGGGGGTGGGGGAAAGCAAATATTGTTTAAAAAAATAAAAAATAAATAAAATTGTGCTTAAAATACAGGATTGATCAGCTAGAATTTAAAAAGCTTCTTAAAGAGGTATTTGTTAGAATAGGAGAGGACCTTACACAAATGCAATGATTTACACTTTGGTCAGAAAATACTGGAGCCCATTAATTAGATATCAAAGGTTAGTTTTGGCACAGAGGTTTTTCATAGAGGCCAAAAGGCTGCTAAGACCCATGAATGGGTGTCAGGAGATTAATAAACTACAAATTTTTGGTCATTTATGCTGATGTGTATCTCTCTGGGGGAGATAGTCTGAAAATTACCTCAGGTTTATAAAGGGATTAATAATAATCACTCTCTCCCCCAACTCCAAAAAAGCCTTAATATATATTGAGCATATTCCCCTGGTGAGAAATAGTATTCAAATAGAAGACATAAGCGGGAGTTAAAGATGAGGAAAAGAACTGACATAAAAAAGTTCGACTTTATGACTAGGGCAGTACCTCCTCATGTGTCTCGACTAAATACAATGCAGGGAACTGGGGGGTTAGCACTCCAGAGAAGGGCATGAGGAACAGCCTTGTGGCCATATTCTTTCACATTCCTAAATCCAGAGCATAACAGGTGTTTGTTTCTCTTACTTATCAGGAATCCAGAGTCTAACAGTTCTGTCTCGTGAAGCAGATGCCAGTAAGTTTCCCAGTGGAGAAAACTGCACGCTGGTGACAACATCTTTATGACCCACATATCGAAAAGCTCGAGCTGGTGGCTTGAAATTCCATAGCATGAGAAACGTATCCCAGGAAGCAGTTGCTATCAAGAAAGAGAAGAACAAAACCACTTCTTGTTAAAATGCAAACACAGGTCTTTCTCATTACCTTGGGCAGCATATTTTTATTTATTTATTTATTTATACAAGCACTGGGTACAGTCAGAAGCGCGGGAGGGTGAGAGAATTCACCAGAGACAGAGCCGAGAGCAGAGCAGGCATACTGACGAAGTACACTGCTGAGGGGAGCAGCGGGCGGCAGGAGAGGTCTGCGCGTCATGTGGGACCCTCACCCGGCAGCCAGGGATCGAACCAGCACCGTGGAGGCTGCAGCCAGCTTTGCAACCTAGCGTTCAATCACTGCATCACCGGGGAGGCCCTTGGGCAGCATATTTAATAACAAGATGTCCAGGCAATAGAGGCACTGGGTGTTGTAAGGCTGACCAGGTAATAACAAGAAGCACTTTTCAAAGAAAACCCAATGTTACATCACTAATATGCAAATTGACTGTGTCTTATGGAAGCACAGAGAAAGAATAGTGGCCCCATATTTGGTTAGAATTCAATAACTGGGTATTTACTAACAAAAGGCTGCACAGTATAACAGAGAATACAGAGGGCCTAAGTCTCAGGGTGAATGGGAGAGTTAACCTTTGCCACAAGGAGTGAATGGTTTCCCTGAGAGGGCCAGATGAGATGACTTTTTTAAAGATTTATTTATTTATGCATGTAAGAACGTGGGTACAGGCCAGAGGTATAGGGGAGGGGTGAGAGGATTCACCAGAGGCAGAGTGGGGAACAGAACAGGCAGACTGACGAAATACACTGCTGAGGGGAGCAGAGGGCGAGACAGGAGAGATCTGCTCGCCATGTGGGTTGCTCCCTCACCGGGGATTGAATTCATGCCGCAGTTTTTAAACTGTTTATGTGAATACTAACTGCACACTTTCCGAAAAATTACAATAGTATAAAGGATATTAATAGGCTCTTTACTAGATCCACCTGTTAATATTTTGCATTCATTGTGCTCATTCTCTTTCTCTTTCTGTGCATGACATGTATATCCACGTTTTTGGTTCCTCCCCCCCACCCCCATAACCATTTAGAAGTAAATACATCAAAATATACCATTACTCCTAAAATCTTCAGTGTTTTTGTTATTCTAAGAATAAGTATGTTCTCTTACATGCACATAGTACAGTTATCAACTTTAGTAAATTAATCACTGAATTATCCCAGGAATACTTTTATATCTAGATAAGGTGATTTTTTATATTAATTTATTTGAATTTTTTACATCAATTTTCATTTTTAAACAATATTTGCTTCCCCCCACCCCCTCAGGTGTAGTCCCCATAGTTTCCTTCACCAATTACCTGTGCACCATCACCTCAGTCCCCTGTGCTCCTCCCTCCCTCCCTCTGATCCCTTTTCCTCCTCCTCCCCTGCAGGATGTCTCTGATTTATAATTGTCTGTTTTTGCTTCGTTGTGTTTTGTACTGTTTCTAGTTTTTTACACTGATGTCTTATTTGATTCCCCTATATTTCTGCTATTAATTAACCCATCCGATATTTTTCTTTTTCCTTCTGGCTTATTTCACTGAGCATAATTCCTTCTAGTTCCATCCATGTTGCTGCAAATGGCATGCGTTTATCTTTTTTGATTGCTGAATAATATTCTATTGTGTATATGTGCCACATCTTCTTGATCCAGTCATCTATTTTTGGGCGTTTGGGTTGTTTCCAGGTTTTACCTATTGTATAGTGCTGCAATAAACACAGGTGTACAGGTGTTCTTTTGAATCAATGTTTTTGTGTCCTTTGGGTAGATCCCTAGAAGTGGAATTGCTGGATTGAATGGTAGCTCCATGTTTAATAGATTGAGGAACCTTCAGACAGCTTTCCATAGTGGTTGGACCAGTTTGCACTCCCACCAGCAATATAGGAGAGTTCCTTTCTCACCACATCCTCGCCAACCTTTGTTGTTGCTTGTTTTTTTGATACGTGCCATTCTCACTGTTGTAAGGTGGTATCTCAGTGGGGTTTTAATTTGCATTTCCCTGATTATAAGGGATGTTGAACATTTTTTCATATGCCTATTGGCTATTTGCATTTCTTTTTTGGAGAAATGTCTTTTAAGTTCTTCTACCTATTTCTTTGACTGGATTGTTTATTTTGTTTCTGTTGAGTCATGTGAGTTCTTTGTGCATCTTTGTGATCAGTCCCTTAGATAAGGTGATCTTAAGATCTCTTTCTGCCCTTTTTTTTCTTGACATTCTATTATTTAAAAAAAGTGATACATACATGTTGATTTTCAGTGCACACCTGAGACTTGCATAATACAATTTACTTCAATAAAAAAAATTGTGTGTCAGACATTAGCTTAAGGCCCTAAGAAAAGGAAAACAAAATGCAATTAGTGGTAAAGAGTGAACAAGTAAACAAATGAAAGATAGATCTAACTCTTACCCTAAAACCAAATTTATTTATGCCTGTAGTCCCCAAATTATCCAAATAATAGGAAGCAGGTCAACAATAATCACTAAATCAAGATAGTAGAATGCTTAGGAAAAAATGCAACCTGGAAACTTGAAAAACAATTAGAATAATTATAGAAAGTGACTGAAAACCTAAGTTCTTTAGTCATAAATAAAATTTATTTGGACTTAGCCTCTATGTTGCTTCCAGGTGAAACAGCTTAAATGAGGTTTTAAGTGTCAAGCTCCAATGCTGTATACAATCTACTTTTTAAAAAGGTATAAAAAATTGATGTTCTACCACAGCTCATCAAATTATTAAATATTTACATCAGCATCTGAATTATCTGGAGTTAACGGAGACAAAATGGGGAAAAAAACTGAATTACCATATGCATTATACTCAGTTGAGTTCTAGTGTGTTATGCTGCAAACAAGATCCACAAAGGGACACAAGACATAATCCCTTACCTGAAGATGAGATACTGAAAGTATTAAGAGAAATAATACTTGTAGTTTATGCTTGGCATGTAGAAAACACTCAAAGGTAGCTCCAAATGTGTGGTTTTTGTTTTCGTTAGTGTTAGCAGCAGCAGTAACAGCCTAGATAATATACTCAAGACTGAAAACTGGATGGGATCACTTAGGAAGCATGTATAAAGCAGGTGAAGGTACTTAACCTTGAGAGAAGAGCAGAGGAAGGAGACATACGTGAAGCAGGAGGTTTCTAGGAATTCAAGAAGTGTCCAAGAGGACCATGAACTGTGTCAAATGCTTTGAAGAGACTTACTCTGATCAGGCTTGAACAGGACTGGCTACATAATTTGCACAAACCTGAGTAAAAATGTACCTATGGGGACTCATAGAGACTTTAAGAATTTCAGGACAGTACTAGCAGGGCATAAACTAAGTGTGAGGATCTGAGTAACCACAGAGATTATGTGCCCATAAAACCTAGGCCCGAGGATCCAACATTGGTTTGTCAGTAAGAATTGCTACAGTGACCAGGTGGGATCAAAGCTGGATGGTATGGGTTGAGGACAAAATGGAAGGGAGACAGTGGAGAGACACAGGGTCCCAATACTCAATATGCTAAGGACCAGAAAAAAATGGCATAATGGAATGGATCACGGAGCAACAACAACTGGGCTGGGCTGGGGTGTTGGAGGGATGAGAATAGAAAACTTAAACAACAGCTTCTGACTTCAGCCTCACATTTTTTCAGAAGTCAAAGGGCATCTTAACCAGAGTGGATGCTCACCAATGATAAATTTAGAGTTGATGGCTATACATAACCACATTAAAGCAATGCTTGCTATTATCAGCATGAGGCCCCACTAAAGAAAAGTGACTGACAGAGCAGCCTGGTCAAATGGTATAAAGGATGCAACAGCCTAACCTTATGGTGAGGTGGCAATTCAGAGGCCTATGAACTACGAAACAGCAGGAGAGAAACTCTAATCACAAATGTGGCTCAGAATACACTCAATATTTTCTTCTAAATTTCAAGAAAACAAAGGGAAAAAGGTGAACAATCGAGAAAGATCCCATTCTTTTTTAGAAAACCATGAAAACCAACACATTATTTTCCTTCTTACTTCTTCAACCTTATCCTACCAGACCCTAACAACATGATAATAAAATGTATTTGATTATTGATGCCAATGTAGTACTGTGTCAATTTGGAATTTGCTTTTATATATTTTCATTGAACCAGGTCCTAAACAAACATTATCATTCAATTTAAAATGTCAAATCTCTACCCGTCACCATCTGACTGGCCTATTTTGAGATAAAATTTCAAAGGGAGGAAGTTAAGAGAAAAGGTTAACTATTAAATCTACCCACTAAAAAAAAATTATTTGTATTCTATAATAAGCACCCATTGTTTCAATAACCCTCCTTTTGACACAAGAAAGAACAAAGTCCATGCTCACAGAGGTAGGTGCTGTGCTCTGGAAGGGACAGTAAAGACCACACTCATGGAGGCCACATTTACTCTCCATAACTTCCAAGGGTCAACAGCGACAGTGCCAACTTCAAGTAGCAACTCAAGCCCTCTTGTTGATTTAACCAAATTAAACTATAATTAACTAGATGGAAAAACAATTTCCTGGAAGAAAACAGTACTGCCTCTAGTTTTTGTGAGAGTGGTTAAATTATCTTTATCTTTTCACTTGGCAATAAATGTTTACGATGACAGAGAATTCCAAGATTACACAAGACTATTGGCCGAAATCATTTTCCAGTACACGGCCACCTGGTTCTCCTTCCTAGAGATAACCAGTGTTAACCATTATCTTGTGTAAATACGCACATGTATTTTTTATACAAATGGTAGCATGCTCTACTGGCCATGATGAATTTTGCCTCTCCATCTTCCCCAGGCCGCTTGGTATAATATATTGGAGATGATGATTTTAGTACAAAGAGCTGCCTTATTCTTTCAGCTACTATTTTTGACCATCATTCCTAGAAGAAATCAGAATTTCTTAGGATGAAAAGTTCAATTTTAGGGCTGGGGCATAGAAAGCACATATTGGAACAGCTTGTGATTCAGAAGGTAA